AACACCGTGACGAAGTCTCTCCCATTTCAAAGGTTCCTTCATAGGCAGCTTCCAAATGGGTCCTTCAGGCAATGAAGGCTACAACTGACAGATCCTTCGCAACTCAGACCCTCTCAAGATTCACAGCGCACCATGATTTAAAATAAAATATGCAGCATTTTACTCGCATTGGAATCGTTAGCAGAAGAGTAAGTTCAAATGCATTCCTTTTGAATGATTTCAATTTTCACACATCCTGCTGTACTGATTGATTATTATACAGTAGAACATAAATGGATCCGAGAGAACAAATTTACGTTGTGTAGATAGTTTAATGTTAGCTTATATTTGAAATAAAATAGCATTAGTTAGCGTCAGATAGCATTATGCTATTTAAAAGATTGGGTCATACTTTATTTTGATGGTTTGTTAGTTGAATTTAAGTTACATTGCAACTACATGCCAACTAATTCTCATTAGATTATAAGTAGACTGCTAGGTTGGGGTTAGGGTTTCTTACAGTCAGTTAAATGTCTGTTGAAGGAGCAGTATCAACAGATATTAAGCAGACAGTCTACTAATACTTAAATGAAACATCAAAATAAAGTGTTACCTAAGATTGCTCAATTTGTTTTGCAGGTCTCTTCACAGCATTTTTTATGTATCCAAGGTCAGAAAACTCTTACATTTTATTATAAAATACACTTGAATTCACTTCATTTCTCAAATAGTCTTACATGACTCATTTGAAGTTCCATTCTGTGTAGAGAATGAGAGTTTTGAGTTTATTTCCATATCACTTTTGATAGTTTGTAAATTTTACATGAGAGATCTAGTCAACTGCTGAAAGTGCATTGGAAAGGACTCTCAGATTCATTTACATTTAATTACAGTTTGCTTTTTTTTGCAGCTTTACAATAAAACAAACTAACAAAAAGGTTAAGCTAAATTAATTGACAATCTCTGTTAAAGGCATTCTACCCATCTCTCTCCACCATTCTCAGTTCTTGTCTCAAATGGGATTGTGGGCCAAATCAAAGATTACAATGGGCCAGCTTTGGCCTGCAGGCCCTACTTTTGGCATCTCTGATCTAGATGGATTTGCATTTTAAACACTAAATAGAAGTAAAAAATGTATTATTTTTTTATTCGTATAATAAGTTAATAGTTATGATAAAAATCATGGCAAAATCATTTCACATAAATCTGCTGATTTTTTTTTTTTAATTCTCCGCAAAAATATCTAAAAATGTCAGCAGATTCTGTCTCGCCCTTCTTATTAATTACGTAAAATTGCTGTTTCTTGAGACAATTTTTTTTCTTCCTTTTCTTCCATGTGTTCAGAATAATAAAAATACTTCCGTTGCAGAAATGAGAAGCTCTGCTATCCTGGTTTATATCTGTTCCTGTGGGGGAGCGCATTCTTTCATTGAGTGCCTGACTTAACATGTCCATATTAATTTTATATACGTAATTTATTTTTTAAAAGCTGATTTAAAATAAAAATTATCTCGAATTACATTTTTAAAAACAAAGTAACTCAAAACAAAAGTATTACTACTTTTTTTTTTATTATGCGTTAAGGCTGATTTATACTTCCGCGTCAAGCGCACGCGTATGCTACGGCGCAGCCTACGTATCGACTCATAGCCCTACGCCATAGCCGACACGCAACTCTCAAAAAATGTAACTACACATTGCAACGACGCATAGCGCAAGCTCTGTGATTGGTCGGCTTGGTATTGCTGAGTATGGGCGGGACCGAGAGCTGCGCGAACCCGATGGAGCGAGTGTTTACAAGTGTGGAGTCCTGTGGAAGAGCTCCGGATGGAAAGTTTTGTTTTGCGTTTACCTCATGGTTAAAGTTGTTGCATGTCCGCCGGTTCCTGCCTCAAAATGAGCAAGTTTGAGCCACTTGTACATTAAGGAAGTGTTCAGAAAATAACAAAACACCAGCGAAGAAACTCAACACAAAGGAACATAAACACCTTCTGCCAACTAGCATTGCGGAAGTGTTGTTGCAGACCAACAGAAACAGCGTGCAGAAGTTTAAATGCACGGCTATGCATGCTGCATGTGTCGTGGGTCACGTCGATCACTTGAAGCAGAAGTATAAACCAGACTTTACTTTACTCGATACTTAGAAAAGTACTATTATTACGTTTTGACAATCTTTTCACACCATTTCTAATGTTGATCACTGAACATGTTGTCATGTATACAATGAGGTTTGATTTAAATGCAAATCATACTTGCGTATTCTCTACCCATAAAGTGCAGATATGATGCAAATAAGAAATAAATTTCACGGCTGTTTAATGATTATAACAACAGTTTTTCTGAGCGTGCATAAGTCGCGCTAGAATTATTTTCAGTTCTTCAGTATGTGCTTCTGAAAATAGTATTGACAATGCAAACCAACTACAATGTTTGAGGGTGAAAGTACACATTATTTGGGCCAGACAATTATGATAGGCTGGCATTATGCTAATGGAAAATGAAAAAATAAAAAAAATAAACTTTGTGCCATGCACTTTGATCTCTAAAACTGCAGACCTTTTGCATTCAAAACAGCTACATCACACAGCATGAAGGGTAACATTCAAAAAAGAATAACAAGGGGACTTTGGCAAAACTTGGTCGAGCCTCTGTGGGCTAATAACAAGTCAATATGGTGCTTCTGAATTTGGACAACTACTATAATTGTTGTGACCTTTTATATAGCAGACAAGCAACATAGAGCTGAAGTCAAAATAATTAGCCCTCTTGTTATTTCCTTTTCCCTAATTATGCTTAACAGAGCAAGGAATTTTTCACAGTATTTCCTAAAATATTTTTTTCGTTGAAGAAATTCTTTTTTTTTTTTTTTTTTGTCTAGAATAAAGGTAGTCTTTAATTTTTTAAGGTCAATATTATAAGCCCCCTTAAGCAATATTCTATTTTGTTCTACAAAACAAACCATCATTATATAGTGATTTGCCTAATTACCCTAACAAGTTGACCCAATTAATATAGCTAAGCTTTTAAATGGCACATTAAGCAGAAAACTAGTATCTTAAAAAAAATATCCAGGAAAATATTAATGTTATGTCGTTATTATTATTGTACTGTTGTTATGTCCATTTGGGGAGTGTTGTTTCTGTTTTCACTGATTTTGTTTTGCTTTTATAGGATTCGCAGCGTTGACTGTGTTTGACATCAATCTTTCAAGACACGAATTGACATTCGATGATGTAATTGAGAGGAGCTCCAATCAATGCACTGCAGGATAGAGTGACACATTTTTTATTTATTTTTTACTATTATTAACATCCTTTACATTTTTTTGTATCCGCCCAATAACCAAACATCCGCGGTCGTGGGAAATCTCTCATTTTACCCATTTCGTTCAGTGTACACAAGACCTGTCTTCACTCCCACAGACAGTATCATGTGCCCTGCAGACCCACAGAGGCGAATGTATACCATTAGTAAAGGTTCAATGCATTTGTCTTATTTTAATAATCTACAGTTTTTAATCCTGTAATTATGATGTTTTTTAGTAATATTATCTGTTTTTATTCCTTTTTGAATGGCATTAAAGTAAATGCAATGAAAATGACTTTCACATATTACGTCTATTTTAGAGTTTGTTATTTCATGATTTTTCTAGTTCATAATTTTGCTTGTTTTCTAGAGTTTGTCATTTCATGTCTTTTCTGCAGTTTGTTAATTCATGTCTTTTCTAGAGTTCATTGTTTTGTGTCTTTTCTAGAGTTCATTATTTTGTGTCTTTTCTAGAGTTTGTTATTTCACGTCTTTTCTAGAGTTCATTATTTTGCGTGCTTTCTAGAGTTTGTCATTTCACATCTTTTCTGCAGTTTGTTATTTTGCGTCTTTTCTAGCGTTTGTCATTTTGCATCTTCTGCTGTTTGTTATTTAGCGTCTTTTCTAGAGTTCATTATTTAGTGTCTTTTATAGCGTTTGTCATTTTGCATCTGCTGTTCGTTATTTTGTGTCTTTTCTAGAGTTTATTATTTCATCTCTTTTCTAGAGTTTATTATTTTGCGTCTTCTGCCGTTTGTTATTTTGCGTCTTTTCTAGAGTTCATTATTTTGTGTCTTCTGCTGTTCGTTATTTCGCATCTTTTCTAGAGTCCTTTTTTTGAGTCTTTTTTTAGGGTTTACTATTTCATGTCTTTTCTAGAGTTCTATATTTCCAATAGAGGCGTGTCACAAGTGGGGTAACGCACTCATGCCTTCCAGACGTACCCAGTTGAATGAATGCTGCAAGTGCACCATGATGAGTCATGAGACAAGAACTGATCAATCAGTAAAATTGTCAAGCGTTCACCAGTCTGCAGAGATAAAAAAAAGGTTGGGGGCTGGTCAGTTAGTTGATTTTTTATTTATTTATTTATTTATTTATTTATTTATTTATTTATTTATTTATTTATTTATTTATTTATTTATTTTGGCATAGTTCCATTTTCTTTGTCATTCATATGTCTGTTACATTTGGTTAATTTATTTTTGTGAATTTGTTGTTTTCTTATTTTTATATGAACATTTTTTTTTAATTCATTAAAAAATGTACAGGGTTTATAATAAACAAGTTCACTTACATAGTATTTATGTTTCTTGTTGTTCCTCATCTAGTACAAATAGCAACCATAATTACAACCAGTTTAATGTTTTCATTTTCGCTCCCCCTCAACCGTTAAAAAGTAAAAAAAAAAGAGATGTGACAACTATCATCATAGCAAATAAAAAACAAATGAGTTATTAAAACTATTATGTTGAAAAATGTGTTGATAACATGATAACATACAGGAGGGCTAATCATTCAGCAGGACTAATAATTCTGACTTCAACTGTATATAGGTCTTTTAAATTAACATTTCATCTAAAAATAAAACTGTTTACTCACCTACTTCCATGACTGTGTAAATAAATGAACAAACTTTTCAATCAGAACCCCAGAAACATGCATGTATTAGTAGGTGCAAGCACAAACGACACCATTCACAGCTCTAAGGTGCATTTTTTTATAGAAAGTACAATGATTCAAACCAGTAACTATACAAATATATAATATAACCATGAAAGGATGTAGTCTAGTTATTTGCTTTCCTTTTTTCCCTTTTCTTCATATAACCCCCCCACCAGCACACGCTGAGTCTTTGCAAAGTGTGATCAAAAGCATAAAATGGAGAAAAATAAATAAGTTACATTCTTGGACAAAACAGGAGTGTTGGTTCAGTAAGGTCACATTGTGGCGCACACACACACACAAACACACACATACACTGAAAATCTTAGGAAGCTCAGAACATCACTTTTTTCTTTCCTCCTCATTATCTTTTGCCCTTTAGATCATTTCACTCAGTCACTACTTCCCCGCATCTCTTAATCGACAGGCCACCGCTGTGATGAGGGCAGCACCTTTTCCACTGCCGTCTTCTGACTGGACGAGACTGACCTCACAATTGGGTGCCAGGTCTCTAAGGGTCTCCCGCATGATGGTGGCAAAGCTGATGAGACAAAAGAGGAGAGCATTCGTGCTTGAAAAATGACACTTCTGAGAGAGGAAATCAGAGCATGAGCTAAATCTGATATATTTAATTATTTTTTGTTTGTTTTTTTTTTCACAAAATTGACCAACTTTTTCAGAACTCCATTAGTGCCTTTTGTGCTATTTATATTGTCTTTGAGTAAATCAAACAATACTGTTTTATTCTGTTAACTACTGATAACATTAGGCATCAACTGACATTGACACTTTAGGCCAAAAATTAAATAATTTTCGACATAAAACAACAAAAAATTATAAAACAATCACAATATCAATATCACGATATCAAGATCCCGATATCAAGATCACAATATCAATATCAAGATCACGATATCAATATCACGATATCAAGATCATGGTATCAATATCACGATTTCAATATCACAATATCAAGATCACGATATCAAGATCACAATATCAATATCACGATATCAAGATCATGGTATCAATATCACGATTTCAATATCACAATATCAAGATCACAAAATCAATATCACGATATCAAGATCACGATATCAAGATCACAATATCAATATTATGATATCAAGATCACAATATCAATATCACGATATCAAGATCATGGTATCATTATCACAATATCAATATCACGATATCAATAGCTCAATATCAATATTACGATATCAATAGCTCAATATCAATATTACGATATCAAGGTCATGGTATCAATATCACAATATCAATATCACAATATCAATATTATGATATCAAGATCACAATATCAATATCAATGCCATGATATCATTGTCAGAATATTGATATCACAATATCAATATCTCAATATCAATTACAAAATCAATATCTCAATATTAATATTACAATATCAATGTCACAATATTAAACTCACAATATCAATATCACAATATCAATCATGATATAGATATCACAATACCAAAATCATATTATCAATATTACAATATCTATGTCCTGATATCAATAATACAATATCACGATATCAATATTACAATATCAATGTCACAATATCAATATCACAATATCAATATTACAATATCATAACATCAATATTGCAATATTATTATTACAATATCAATATCACAATATCAATATCACAATATCAATATCTCAATCAATATTACAATGTCACAAATATCACAATATCATGATACTGATGTCACAATATTGATCTCACAATATCAATATTACGATATCAATGTCATAACATCAATGTCACAATATTGATATCACAATATCAATATTACAATATCAAGTTCACAATATTAATATCGCAATATCAATATTACAATAGCCATGTGATGACATCAATGTCACAATATCAATATGACAATATAAATATTACAATATCAATGTGACTATCAATGACACAATATCGATATCAAAATATCAATATCAAGATATTAATATTACAATGAGTGTCACAATATCAATATAATAACATCAATATCACAATATCAATATCACGACATCAATGTCACAATATCAATATCACAATATCAATATTACAAAATCTATGTGACGACATCAATGTCACGATATCCACATCATGATATCAATGTGACAATATCAATGACACAATAATAATGTCACAATATCAATACCACAATATCAATATTACAATATCTATTTGAGGAATCAATGTAACAATATCAATATCACGATATCAATGTGACAATATCAATGACACAATATTAATGTCACAATATCAATATTACATTATCTATGTGATGACATCAATGTAACAATATCGATATCACAATATCAGTATCAAGATATCAATATTACAATTTCAATGTCACAATATCAATATTGCAAAATAAATATTGCAACATCAATATCACAATATCAATAACACTATTTCAATGTCACAATATCGATATCACTATAGCAATACCATGTTATCAATATTACAATATCAATGTCACAATATTAATGTCATAACATCAATATTACAATCACATTATTGATATCACAATATCAATATCATAACATCAATTACAATATTAATATTTCAATATCAATATTACAATATGAATGTCACAATATCACAATATCATAATAGTGATATCACAATATCAATATCACAATATCGATATCACAATATCAATATTACAATATCTATGTGACGACATTAATGTCACAATATCAATGTCACAATATCAATGTCACAATATCTATGTGATGACGTTAATGTCACAATATCAAAATATCAAGATTACAATATCAAGACACAATATTGATATCACAATATCAATTTCACGATATCAAGATTACAACATTAATATTAAAATATCAATAAAACAATCAATTCCTTTTTGAACACAATATCAATGTTTTAACTTCTGGACCTTTTTGAGTTTTGGGGACCCTCATGATTTGCTTGGGACCCTTATGAACTGGGTTTAACATAATTATTTTTTTTTTATCACAAAACACTGTGGCTAGTGGTTCTCAAGTTACTAGCCACTTGCCATTTTCAGTAGCCACATTTTGTTGAGAAATATATTTTCTATGCATAAATTTGATAGCGTGAAAACCATCAATTGACTTAGAATCATTTTTAACATGACACAATAATGTAATGATTGCACACAGCAATGAACCACGCCCAAACAAAGTCAGTCTCTTCTTTTGACAAACAGCCAAGGACATCTGCTGCATGTCCTCCATTGGTGTTTACTGTATAAGGCCGTTCACATCCTTCCACACTCTATTAGTCATGTATCTACATTTGAAATAATATAATTGTGCAAAAACACAATATGTGAACAGTACGGTTTTCATCTTTGTGCAAAAATAATATCGATTGCAACTTTGACCTAAACCACAGCTACCAAGTAAAGGTACTGTTGGTAATGAAAACGGTTTCATGCTGATCTGTACTGCACTCTAATGTACTAAACCATAGCGCTCGGTGCAATTAAGGCATTACATAGATTTTAATAATTACAGCAAATGCCTTCTGCCTATTTTAGACCTTACTTAGTTTCATTTAGTTGCCAAGACAACCTTTACAGTTTTTGTGTGTGTGTGTGTGTGTGTGTGTGTGTGTGTGTGTGTGTGTGTGTGTGTGTGTGTGTTTGTTTGTTTGTTTCAGAGTATAGCTATAGCTGCTCACATTTTAGAATACAATAAATTAATTTCATCTTGATTTCAAATTTAGGTATGCTTCAAGGCTATATCAGCAGCATTGGCAATATCAGTAATATACACCCACTGGCCACTTTATTAGGTACACCTTCCTAGTACTGGGTTGGACCCCCTTTTGCCTTCAGAACTGCCTTAATCCTTAATGGCAGAGATTCGACAAGGTGCTGGAAATATTCCTAAGAAATTTTGGTCCATATTGATATGATAGCATCACACAGTTGCTGCAGATTTGTCGGCTGCACATCCATGATCCACCACATCCCAAATGTGCTCTACTGGATTGAGTTCTGGTGACTGTGGAGGCCATTTGAGTACAGTGAACTCATTGTCATGTTCAAGAAACCAGTCTGAGATGATTCACGCTTTATGACATGGCACTTTATCCTGCTGGAAGTAGCCATCAGAAGATGGGTACACTGCGGCGATAAAGGGTCAGCGACAATACTCCGATACGCTGTGCCGTTGACACAATGCTCAATTGGTACTAATGGGCGCAAAGTGTGTCAAGAAAATACCCCCCACACCACTACACCACCACCAGCAGCCTGAATCATTGATACAAAGTTAGATGGGTGCATGATTTCATGTTGTTGATGCCAAACTCTGACCCTACCATCCAAATGTTGCAGCAGAAATCAAGACTCAGACCAGGCAACGTTTTTCAAATCTTATTTTGTCCAATTTTGGTGAGCCTGTGCGAATTGTAGCCTCAGTTTCCTGTTCTTAGCTGATATAAGTGGCACGCGGTGTGGTCTTCTGCTGCTGTAGCTCATTAATTGGACATGTTGTGTGTTCAGAGATGCTCTTCTGCATACCTCCGTTGTAACGAGTGGTTATTTGAGTTACTATTGCCTTTCTATCAGCTAGAACCAGTCTGGCCATTCTCCTCTGATCTCTAGCATCAACAAGGCATTTGCACCCACTGAACTGCCGCTTATTGGATATTTTCTCTTTTTCAGACCATTCTCTGTAAACCCTAGAGATGGTTGTGCGTAAAAATCCCAGTAGATTAGCAGTTACTGAAATACTCAGACCAGCCCGTTTGGCACCAACAACCATGACACGTTTAAAAATCACCTTTCTTCCCCATTCTGATGCTCGGTTTGAACTGCAGCAGACCATGTCTACATGCCTAAATGTAGGCATAAACATTGAATTACTGCCATGTGATTTGGCTGATTAGAGATTTGTGTTAACGAGCAATTGGGACAGGTGTACCTAAAAAATCATAACAGATTCCTTATATGCAACCATACAAATACCGATTAACATAAACAATACCGATTAAATATCATAAGATCTTTCAATTACATCAATGATAAATATTGCAAAATGAGTTTTTTACTTTCATTTACTGATAGATTTACTTTATGCAATTTCTTGTTTTCATATTCATCCCATTTAAATTTTCCATCTCTCATCAATGTATTCAAAGCCAACAGAGGAATTTTACATTCTGCTACTTCCAACTTGAAGGGTTTCGTTTCTTAATTTCAATTAACAGAAATGACTTTTGATGAGTTTTACGAGTGGCTCTTTCTTTTCCTCTTGTTCTCTCGCTGTTCCTTTCTCTCTCGCTCTCTCAATTCAATCATGTCTGTACTGTCACAACAAAGGAATGCAATGTCAAAAAATAGAAGAAAACCCTAACTCCATCCAATGGCTTGACAGGCATTTTCTTCTACAAGCATCTCGGAAAAAATGCTTGAGGGATGTTACACTGAATAGCACCCAACAGCCTTCAATTTCTTCTTTTAACCAAGACAACAAGCAAGAGTGAGTAAAGATGAACCGAAAAACACACTTGACAAAATC